AGAAACACTAGCCCTATAGAACAAACCCTGAAAAAAAGATAGAATAAAAGACTTCATGAGTCTCATTACTTGGAATCTTGATTCAAGAAATAGAGACAGAAATGAGTGGCTACTATTTTATTCAAACTTCATTGACAACCTTACCACCATAGTATTGAGCTATGAGAAACAATTCATCCCAAGCGAAACTCGAAACCGACGCCCCTATATCACTCAAAACCTCGAAACCAACTCCCCTAGATCACTTTATGTTTCTTTTTCTTTGTATTTATTGCTGACATTTCACATGATGCACATGCCCACGTAATAAATCAAATCAAATCAAGATAGTTATTGACACACATTGCCCCATGTACCTAAAAGCATCTCTAAAAATGAAGCGAATCAAAATTTACCATGAAAGTTTCGAGCTTCAATCTTTCTTCAAACTGGACCGTCGTCAGCCGACCCGATGAAAGGCTCACGCTTAAAAGGTTATCACGAAATTTTGGAGCAGTTTCTCACCTCTCCTTATCGTACAAAAACATGAAATGCAAATATGTGCTGGGGAAAACGAAAGGAGGTGATTAATGTTAGGGTGGTAAAATGTCGTTTTTTTTAATAATCAATAACTTTTATAATAAAAACAATAACTAAGCATCTCGATCCGAAACACAGTCCTCATCTTAGCCGTGATTTTGCGCAAATAACTCTTTTCTGAGCTATTCTTCTCGCTTTAAAATTTAAAGTAGACGGATCCCAAATTTTGACAACGTCGGAATTATTGAACTTCTTATCTGCTAAAGAGTGCTGCATTGACTAGCACTCTTTAGCAGATAAGGAAAAGGTTGCTCAAACTAGTGCGCAAAGTAGGAGCATTCAGCTCGAATTCATTTTTCGCTTTGTGATTTTGGCAACACACACTGCCACTGCTTGACTGGTAATAGGGTGCCACCGCAAAATTCATTTGCCGCACTAATTTCTCCAGTCACCTGTACATCATTGGTTGCAGCCCCTTGGGATCTCCTATCAATGATTCTTCTGCTTGATGACTTTTTCTAAGTTCTTGCTGATGGTTAGCTATAACTTCAAAATGATTTTCATAATTTTTGTCTTCGAGGCTCTTGTCCTCTTTCGGGGCGTAGCAGTTATTGCAAGCATTGCTACAAGAAAAGGCAAGCAACTATTGTATTACAAGCAACTATTAGATTAGAAGACTATTAGATCCAGTGGCCGTTTTACCTTGTTGCAGACCGTACCACACGCGCACGCGACGACTTTGATCCCACATCCTTCTAGAACAAACTCAAACTTCAAGACAACTGATTCGACGTATGTTGAAGCCTACAAACGGCTAATAATCTACAGCCTCACAAATTTCCGGTGCGATGACCCTAATCTAAAAGGTCACTTCTAAACACAGCACACTTAGGCTCGAGTGAGTTTTAACAAAAGTCCTGCTACTCAAAAAGAAAAGGTGAAGCAAAAAACAATCAATCTGAATAAAGTCTGATTTGGCGCAGATGAGTAAGAAGTTTACGAACATCTCAATCAAATCAAAACCAAGAATGTTAGGAACAATTGCTAATAGAAACAACTCACCAGTATGCGCTCACTGCAGTAACCACTTTCAAATAGTGTGACATCTTAGATCCGTCATTGTCATCGGTCATCTTCGGCTGCAAAGCCAATTTAAGCATTGTGTATAGCAAATCCAATAGACTTAGAGAACGCAACACGACCGCAGTTTTTGCTTTGACATGAAATGAACCGTACTTTCAGGAAAAGGCAGGCGCTTCAGAATGGAATGAGCGTCGAAAAACGTATCTACAATATTCCTTTATATTACGTTTGAGAGATATCAAGTTAAAAAGGGGTGAGTGCTTATTCTATAAATTTCGAGCATAATGCTCCCAAGGCGGCATCCCGGCCGTTTCCGCCCAAGCTTTTCAAGTTATATTTTGTAGTCCACCTGCGTTCGAAACTAAAATAGATAGGTCATGAATCCCACGATCACACAATCGACAAGTATTCATCCCGAACTGCAAATCCAACTGCAAAGTATTACTGAACCCATAGGAGTGCGATAATCGCAACATAAGCTTCCAGAAGGAAACAGAAAAGAAAGAGAAAGCAAGTCCTTAAAAAAGTTTAAAAAGTTTCATACCACCATCCACAAGCGTTTACAAAAGGATCACATTTTCGGCTGGCGAGAGCGCCTATCAAGACAATAGGCCTCTACTATGAATCTAGGCAATAAGTGAAAAGCAAAAATTTAGGCTCAACAAGAAACTATTTCACCCGGTCATGTTAAACAGATTTAGAGCAATCCCATAGAAATTGTTTACTGGAGGAGTGGGGGCATTTCGGTGCAATAGTTCAGGGACTATTCTAGAGCTCGGAAGTGCTATGGACCTTCTTCCCATGCTATTCTTCGATGTTGCTTAGTATGAGGCATTTGACGCTCCATGATGCGAAGAAGCAATTGTGAGTCAAGGATGAGAACATAGGAGCTCCGGATAGGGTGAACAATTTTTTCTTGAGGGAGAAGTTTCCGCATTTCGTATGAATGGTTCACGTCTCCGTGAGCTCCTCCCTCCCCACTAGGTTGAAGCAGAACCCTGGCTGGTCTTTAGTGCTGCGCCATGCTCCCTCCCTGCTCATGAAAACAGGTTCTTCCCACGTTTTTAATAGATGTCTTTTGATCCTCCATTATTTAGAACTTACCAAGGTGTTCAGGAGGTTCAGGAGGAGCAAGAAACGCTAAAGAAAATGTGTTACACATCCATCAAAATGCACTCGATAAATAAGCAATCATCCAATTTAGTGATGAGAGCATCACCATGTGATTGTGTGAAGAAAGACAGAATGACGATCGTACGACAGGTACCGCATTAGACATATGGCCATGAGTAGGAGGAGTAGGAGTCCTTATTAGGATTATAATTAGAAGTTTCATAAGTAGTGTTGGCAAAAGGAAATTTGTAGGCTTGGACAGCGTGTGCATAACTATAAACCATGGTCTAGTGGAACTAGTCAAAAAACATATACTGAGTGAAATGCGAATCTCTCTATTGATGTTCGTCATGTACTGTAGGAGACACATTAGAAAAGTGCGAAATCTTGGATTCCATTGTTGAACAGATAGCTAGCAACCATCTGCAACCACTACGCAAAATGACTGGGAACGCAGAAAAAAGAAACACGTTCATCCATCTGTTTTGGAAATCCAGGAAATCGCGCTTAAAGGAAAGTGGGTCGCCACGCACGCGCCTCATATGCGCCCGTGTGGTGATCTGACGCGAATTAATAGTGGTTGTCGCTTGTGTAAATAATCTCCACAGGTATAAAGCACAGGAAGCGTGAAATGATTGGGAATATCAGACAACATACCTGCTTTTCAATTTCAGAAGACTGAGTGCTCAAAGAAGGTTCGTCAAGATCGACATTGACTTGATTTTGTGCCATCGACCTGAAACGGGAGCAGAGTACGACAGACGAGTATTTCAGTGTACGGTACGGCAGGGAAGACGTAATTGCGTCGTTCACATTAATGCGCGAAGTTGTGAAAATCCGTCGCACGCACATGATACAAAAAATCTTGATCTTGTCTGCATCCTTAGACGTAACTTATCACGGCGCAATGCCTCTCAGGAGGGGGGGGGACAGTGGGGTGAGATGGTACACGCTGTGGGTAGGCCTATTGGGGGTGCTAACTTAGTTGGGGGGGGGGGCACGCGGCGGCGCGGCAGTCTGCTCACCTGGGCTCTCTCGAGCGAGACAGTGTAAACTCGAACATTCCAGCTTTTCACGCATGTCAAGTGACTGCCCCCACCCCCCCCCCCACCCCCCTAGACTGGCTACACTCCCCCTGGCCCACGGATTTCCGAACATGCCAGGCGAGCAGACTGCCGCGCCGCCGCGGTGGCCCCCCCCCCAACTATCATATAATCAGCAAACCAATCATAGGACTAAGGCTAGTAGAGTAGCCGAGGGCGCTGGGGTTTAACTCCGGCAGTGCTACATGAAATTTGCTTTGCGCGTACTTCGGATATCCTTCCTCTAGTATGAGGCTAGTTTGATAGTTCTTAAAATGATCTCCCCATTTAAGCAAGGATCCGAGAATTCTCTTAATTGGTATAATATCACTCAAATGTGAAAGTGGGGATGAGAGGTGGACCGCCAATGGGGAAGGAAGGAAAGAAAATCCTGATATACAGGAAATATGAGCATTTTGCTCAATGCTGTAGAGAAGCTCAAAAGTCAGGGAGGGAGATGAGGGATAATGTGAGCGCGAGAAGGATTGTGAATTTCCAGGGAAAGGAGAGACAATAGGCAGATTCAGCACCGTACGCGGGGGCATAGACAAGTTAGCGTCAATATGGTCGGGGCGCGGCAGCCAGAGTGTAGTTATTTGGTGGAGCGTAGAAGTTTGTTGGTATCTACAACATGTATTGAGGATCATTGGCGCGCTGATCTGATTTCGCGACCAAACTTACTGGGTTATATAAAACCCATATAGCTGTTACAATGTTGCGTTTGGTCCATCAGTTCTCGACGAGTATTCGATTCCGACTAAAACCTGCTCATATCTCTGAGGTTTATCGCCCGCATCAACCAGCGGCCCAAAACGCAACCTGGGCGTGATCAGAGATGGGGCGACAGATGACTGACCAGACAGTTTCAGCGTGCTTCGATGCGGTCACGGAACGCTCTCAAAGGAGCCACTGCAAAACGCAGATGCCGCATGATTTACAGGCACCGACAGCCAAACTTCGTACGGCTGGCGTCTGAGCCAGCGCTGAGGTCGTATCGTACCCGACGCGACTCCGTTCGGGTCGTATCAACGACCCAATGACTATTTACGCGAGGGACGCCAAGTGCTCGACGAGCCACTCGAATTCGATCTTCCTTCACAGATGATCTATGCTGCAGGGTTTACGCAAGTACATCCAAATTACGTTCTACCCAAAACACAGCGAGGATGTCACCTTCGCAGAGGCCGTCTCCACACTCATGAGCTTGTTCGGCCACAACAATCTTTATTCAGCCGCCGCTACGCCTGCATGAAGCTGACCAAGGATCCAAACGACGACTTCGTCACCTACGCTGGACATGTCAACCGCGAATGTGCGAAATTCAAGCTAGCGGAGTGCGACGAAAATCCAATTCAATCTTGCCTTATCTTTGTAGCGGTGGTGACGGCTTATTCGTTCACTGAAATTTACTAAGTACAAATTCGAGGCGATCCAAAGTGCTCAGCGTGCGAGTGAGCTCACAGAAACGAATGCAGAGACGCACAAACTTGAAGCAGAACACGAAAATGGTGGAAGATGGGACACCTGGCGTACATGCGGTCAAGAGTTCGTCTATGGCACGCCAACACAAATCGCTAAATGCAACTAAAGTGCCCCATCCAGTCCACATCGGCAGCGAAACTCGCCCCAGACGCTCATCAAAAAGCCGCCTCCATCTCCGTGCTGGTTTTGCGGAGGAGCCATGCATTTCGTCCGTTTCTGCTCATATCGACGACACAAATGCTCCGACTGCCACAGAGTAGGCCACAAAGAAGGATTCTGTGACTCCATACGACGACGACACCGCTCGACGCGCCCCGCTCGTCATTCTACGAGGCCAAGTCACCCGATCTGATGCCGTATTCACTGTGTCAAGTGTACATGGCAACTACCGACGATTCGCTACAATCATGGTGGACGGAGAACCTATACATTTTCAAGTAGACACTGCAGCGGACATCACGATTATCAACGAATCGACATGGGAAATGATGGCAAGCCGCTGTAAAGCGCGGGATCAGTGGGCTCACAGCGATTCAGAGAGTATCGATCAGTTTATAGGGTAGGGGCGCCGCCGAGATTGCATTCGGGTCATTCCAAGTTACTGCTCAAAGGAACGTGGTTACGTCGGCGCGTTACTAACCAAATCTACTTGCAGTTCGGAATGGATTTCTAAGATGGGAATCTACAGCATCATGGATTCACTCCCAAGTGAGGATCCTGCATATTCAGCCGCAATCAACGCCAGCAGCAACTGTTCAAGCACCGACCGGATCGCGAAGGAACTACAGCGGACTTACCCAGAAGTCTTCAACAGCGACCTCGGACACCTGGATACGCAAAATTCTGCAAAGCTTCGTGCCTCAGGAAGGACGGCAAAGCCGAGTTTCCAGCCGAAACGACCAGTGCGGTCATCTCCGCTTCTTCAGCGTGGAAGAGTTGGACGAACTCGAAGCAAACGGACGACGTTCAGTCAGTGATTCAGTCAATTATTCGCGACATGTGGCGGGCACCATGTAGTTATTGTGGGCAAGGCAAATGGTCCTGAGAAAGTTCTTGCGTCGATTTATCAAGGGCCTTAAATGATGCCTGGGGACAAATTACTCATATCGCTCCGGTCTTAGAGGATATCTTTGCGACACTCACCGGCGGACAATATTTTTCGCATACATCGACTTTGCTGACGCCTATCTTCAGATCGAAATGGATCAGCAATCGAAACAGTTGTTAACAATAAACACCCACCGAGGACTATATCAATACAACAGGCTACCCTTCGGCGTCAAATCGGCTCCAGCTATTTTCCAGCAGATTATGGATGCGACTTAGCCGGCCTGCAAGGAGTTGTAGCCTACCTGGATGACGTCATTGTTGTGGGACGCACGGAAGAGGAGCACAGGAAAAACCTCCATGCCGCCTTCAAAAGAATCGCTGAAAGCGGACTTCATGTACGCATGGGAAAGAGTGCGCTTGTTGAATCTTTCTATCCACTTTATCGGAATACGTCATCGACAAGCAACGGACGGACGCCCCGAATCCAAGAAATTGACAGCGACCACAAAGAGACAGGCTTCCAAGGAATCTCACAAACTTCTTCTCATTTCTCGGATTCTAAGGCTATACGGATTTCTATCAAGAAAGTCGAAGCCTGGCGAGAGCCCTCTCGAGCTCGCTATTATGAAGAATGCTAATTCAATGGAACGAGGAATGCAACGGGAATGCTTCAACGCAGGCAAAAGAATAACTTTCTTTCGAACGATGGTCCGCTCGCGCATTACGACCCAAGCCAGGAAATCGTCGTAGCCGCTGACGCATCAAACTACGGATTGGGCGCAGTGATATCACCCCGTTACAAAGACGGATCGGAGAAGGCAGTCGCACACGCCTCTCGCTCACTACTGGCCCAGCGGGAGAGAGATGTACGATCCAATCGAAAAGAGGGATCGGCGGACATGATGTCGCCGTCCGAAGATTCCACAAGATGTTCCTGTGGTACGAAATTCACGGCTCCTTTAACGGACAAAGCCATGCGCGCCTATATTTGGCTCGAAAGCGGGGAACATGTCTACACTGCGTCACAGATTACAGGAATGCGGGCACGGACATATCTGTGCGTACGATTTTTGAACATCCAGTATCGGTCGACGAGAAAGCTCGGTCAAGCAGGATGTTTTGTTGTGTTTTTTTTTTTTTTTCACTGTCAGGCTTATTGAATTTACTCTGACTCGAGAGAAGGAAAGAGTCATCGGACGCCGTTTCACTGGATGAAGACATCAAGTGCACATTTGCCAATGCAGTTCAAGCACTACCCGTCACCGCGGACGAAGTCGCAAGAAATGGACAGCCAAGGATCGTCTCCTCCAGCAAGTCAACAGTTACATCAGAGGAGCATGGCCGACAAAAATAACGAATCCGCGGCTGCTCTGCTTCTACAATCGTCGGAAACGCGCTCTCAACGCTCGACGGATGCCTCCTTATGGCCGATCGAGTGGTCATCCCAGGACCCCTGCAATTACGCGTTCTTCGACAGTTACACAACGGACATCCTGTGAGATGAGAATGTAGCATGAAGGATTAGCCCGCAGCTATGTGCTACTGGCAGGAAATGAACAGATATTTGAAAAATGTTTAGGCGCTGCGCAGATGTTCAGTTCAGTGACTAAGTTCCAGTGGGCAAAACCCGCTCAATCTGGTGGCCTAAACTAGTGCGCCGATGGCGGAATCCAAGTCGGACTAGGCGAGTGCCATACGGAAGGACAGCTATTCCAATGGTAGTTGTGGACGCCTTTTCAAAGTGGCCGGAAATTTTTCAACACCAACAGCACCACGACGGACGCCACGATCGCGCTTCTCCGGAAAACCTTCGCAAGATATGGAGTTCCAGAGACACTTGTTTCCGACAACGGGACACAATTCACCTCGGATGAATTCAGAAGATTTTGCGCCAATCATGGAATTCAACACGTCTTCTCCCCGCCATATCATCCACAATCCAATGGACAAGCGGAGAGATTCGTTGACACATTCAAAAGAGCTCTCTCGAAACTAAAAGGAGAGGGAACACTATATCAGAAAACTTGCAGACTTTCCTCATGACGTATCGCTCAACTCCAAGTCCAGCAGTCGATTGGAGACAAATAGCTCAGCTGAATCTTTCGTTTGGAAGAACTT